TGGTCTACAAGAGCTAGTTCCAGGACAGGCTCCAAAGCTACAGAGAAACCCTGTCTCGAAAAACCAAAGGTGGGGGGGGGGTGGGGGAGAATATAGAGGAAAAGAAAGAATAATGAGGAGAAAGATTGGCCCCCTTCCATGTTAGATCCCAGGCTTAACAACAGGGAGGGGCAAGGTCTTTGGCCAGTCAGGATATGAAGGAGGCCTGGTAAAGCTCAGAGCCCCATGGAAAGGTAGACTTCCTATGACATTTAGAGGACCATCAGGACCTCTCATATCAGTCTGGTTCTGGAACACTCTCCCCACCTTACCATGCAGTATGAAGAAGGTCTTGGGGTTGAATCTGTTGGGGTCCAATCCATCTAGCTCCTCCCAAACCTCCTTCAACTGGGCTTGGCTGCCCTGTGGAGAAGAATGGCAGGAGCTTGTGACCAATGAGTTTGAGAGCCATTATATCAGGTCAGATAGTGCTATGGGCCCCGCTGGAACTACAATTCCCAGAAACCCTTGGAACAGTTCCATATAGGTAGATGAACTTTTTGCCTCAAAGCCTCTTGGGAGTTGTAGTTCGGCTTCTGAATTTTTTTTCTGCTTAGGAATTGGATGTGGTAAAGCATATGTGGGGTCCTTACTGGGACATTGACTTTGGGGTGTTCCCGGTGTCTGCGCTGTTGCTCTTGTAGCTTCCTCTCGGCTTCCTTCCGCTGCTCCTCTCCCAGAGACTCCAGGTAACGTCTTCTCTCATGTTCCTTGAGCATCTCATAGCGTTTGAATTCTTCATGATGGGCAGCGTCATACTGGGCGAGGTCTCGGGTGGCCTGTGGTGAGACAAGAGGGTCATGTTCTTCCTGTCTCTCAGAAACCTGGCATGACTTCATTTTCTTGGCCCTCATGGTTGGTCCAACCCACAGCAACCCCTGGGCTGCTTTCCCAAAGTGATGATGTTCATGTAGTAGCAGCTTGGATGTGAATCTTCCAAGTCCTCCACCAGCTCAGCATTTCAGTAATGAGCAGGGGATGGCATGTGTGGTGGGCTTACTAGGGTAAGGAGCATAGCTTGGGTAGCCAAGAATATGTCAGGAGTCAGCCTGCAGTCTCAGCACTTGGGAGATTCTAAGCCAGCCTGGGGCTACATATCAAGACACTGGTTCAAAACATTTTTTTTTTTCCAAGACAGGGTTTCTCTATAGTTTTGGAGCCAATCCTGGAACTAGCTCTTGTAGACCAGGCTGGCCTCGAACTCACAGAGATCTGCCATCCTCTGCCTCCAAGTGCTGGGATTAAAGGCATGCGCCACCATTTCCTGGCTAAAACACATCTTATAAGACTAGGAATCCATGCTTTCTTTCTCAAGCTACTAAGTTTGTAATTGGTCACCACAGTTGCTGTGAGGACAAATGCACGACCAGGTGGCTCTGCACCAAGGGACAGCTGTCGGTGCCAGCTACACCAGGAGGAAATCTTAGGCATCTAGTGGATAAACCCGAGACGCTGCTGAGAACAGACTCCATCAGGAGCCTAGTCACCTGCTTTCACATGGAGAACCAGGAGGGCGGGAGCGCTGACCCGGAGCCACAGCTCGACTCAGTTCCCCCCTCCTCCCCACTGAGCATCTCGGCTGGCGACCTGCTCACCCTCCCCGTACCGTCTGGATCAGCAGCTCTAGGTCCCGGGCCTCAAATGTGTGCTGGTTCTGAGGGTCCAGGTGTTCAAACTGCTTGAGGAGGTTCAGGTGGTCCACCTGCAAGTCTGGGTAAGGGAAGATCAGACAAAACAACACGCACCATGGCTTCTCTGTCAGAACCCCTGAGTCAGGGCAGGAGTGCAAAAGGCAAAGTCACAGAGGGCCAAGGAGGATGACACATGGGCCTGGGACAGTGTCTGGGACGTGTCGGAGGTGAGCCCTCCACTGACTCTGATGCTTCAAATAACAATAGCCATGAGGACAGCCACGCCAGTCCAGGCTCGCCACTGCAACCTGGTGCCATGCTTTGTGACCAGCTCCCGTTAGTTGCTGCTGTAGTAGTGGCAGTGAGAGTGAGCACGTCTCATCCAGCTCGTGTGGAGCAAGTAAGTGCCTTACTGGGCTGAGCCATTTACCAATTCATGTGAAGGTCAGAGGTCAACAACTATATGGAGTGGGTTCTCTCCTTCTCAGCATGTGATTCTAGGGTTCAAACTCAGGTCATCAGGCTTGGGGGCATGCGCCTTTACCCACCTCATAGGCCCTTATTATAGCTCAATAAAGATATTTAAAAAAAAAAAGCAGCAATATGTAGTGGCCTACACTAGTACTCAAAAGGTAGATGCAGAAGGATCAAGAGTCCAAGGTCATCCTTGGTTACATAGTAAATTTGAGGCTAGCCTGGCTGCATGAGACCCTGTCTCAGCAAGGCAAACACACATTGGGCGGTGGGGGCGCCAGGACTCGGGAGGCAGAGGTGGGAGGAGCTCTGTGAGTTTAAGGCCAGCCTGGTCTACAGAGTGAGTTCCAGGACAGGCTTCAAAGCTACACAGAAACCTTGCCTTGGAAAACAAAAATAAAAAAAGACAAAACTCACCACAAATCCCCAGAAATAAACAAAAGGGGGAAAAAGCAGAGAGAATATATCAGTGTGCAAATGTGCCAGAAAGACAAGAAAGAAATCCCGAGTGATGCCAGATGCTCTCCCACGGGCCCACCGCGCACCCACACTCACTGGGCTCCTGCTTGGCGTCCATCTTGGCCTTGAGCAGCATCCGCAGCCTTGACACCTCCTGCCGCTTGAGTTCATCTAGCTTGGTGCGCACGTGGTGGCTGACGAAGTCTAGCTCTCGGCTCAGCTTTCCACTCTTCCAGGAAAGGGAAGGGGGTGCCCCCGTCAGGCTGGTGCCGGGAGGGAGGATGCTGGGTAGCCCCCCTCTATACCCTAGACACTCAAATTCCCAAAGCTCCATTATCTCTTGTCTTCCTTTATTGCTGGCTGCCCTGGTACCTGGAAGCCCACATGACCAGGATGCAGCCTGAGCTTGGCAGAGAAGCCCTGCTCACCTCAGACCCAACAGTACTGCCTGGGAGTGCCCACGAGTTTGTCAGTTCTCAACCAGAGGACCTTGGCACACAGGGCCACTGACTCTCCTGCCACCTCTTTCCAATCAGTTCTGTCTCCAATATTCACAGAGATGGTATATCCCCCTTAAAAAGCATCTCCAGGCATCACCTTTGCCCACCCACAGAGCGCCGAGCCCGTTGCTCTCTCTGGGCCTGACATGTCTGACATCACCTGGACTCTGTATTCCTCCACCAGAGGTGACCCTGGCCTCTCCTGCTTACAGCGCAGGGCTTGCCAGTATCCCTGCTAGGTACAAGCCTGCAGCACTACCTGCCCGTCCTCCTCAAGGGAACCGCCAGTAAACACCTGAAGCACCAAGAAGGCGTCCCCAGATCTGTTGTTGGGGATGCTCAAGACTGCCAACTTGACAAGATCTAGAATTATTTGGTGTTCAAACATTTGAGCATGTCTAAGACGGGGTTTCTAGACGGGGTAACTAAGGTGGGAGGCCATGCCCTCACTGGCGATGGCACTATCCCAATGTGCTGGGCTCCAGAGCTGAATAAAAAGCCGGAGGGTTTGCTTTGACTGTAGGTGCAATACAGCGCTGATTCGTCCACCTGAGCCATGCCTGTACTTCGATACAGCCATGCAACGCTAGCTAAGACAGAAGTCAATTAGATGAGGCAGAAAAGAACTCAAGGGCACCAGGGCTACCTCCTGGCAGATGGAAAACTGCGGCACAGTAAACTGAGGTTCCATAGCTCGGGAGTGGCAGAGCTGAGGACTCATCTCTATGCTTAAACACATCTTTGGGGTCCCCAGATTCCTTCCCAGCTATTGCCCCAAGAACTCCCTTGAGGACATCCTCCCCCATAGCCCATGCCTAGAGCACCTTGATGTCCTCGGCGTTGGCAGCTTGCAGCTTCTCCCGGAAGTGCCCGTCTGTCTCCAGCACATTAATGACCTCCTGGAGGTACCGGTGGTAGTACAGGCCTGTGTCCTGAGGGACAAGGGCAGACATAGCGACACCTGCCTATCCTTCTAAGTTCTTTCCCCAGCCAGGACCACAGCTCAGCTTCTAAGTTGCAGCTGATGTAGCCGTCACACACAACCGGAGGCCTGCTTTAGTGGCTGAGGACTCCAGAGCCAGCCAGTCCAATTCCAACCTCCTGCAAGGTGCTATGGCGTGCAGGAAATGAAGATCACATGGGGGAGCCGAAGAGATGACTAACGGGGGAAATGCTTTCTGCATGAGCATGAGAACCTGAGTTAAAAGAGTCAGGCAACTGGGCAATAGTGGCGCACACCTTTAATCCCTGCACTCGGGAGGCAGAGGCAGACGGATCTCTGTGAGTTGGAGGCCAGGCTGGTTTACAAGAGCTAGTTCCAGGACAGCTAGGGCTCTTACACAGAGAAACCCTGTCTCAAAAAACAAAAACAACAACAAAAAGGAATGGCCAATAATTGGCAATTTAAGTTTTTTGTTTTTCTGTTTTTGTTTGGTTTAGTTTGGTTTTTCAAGATAGGGTTTCTCTGTGTAACATCCCTGACTGTCTGGAGCTCACTCTATAGATCAGGCTGTCCTTAAACTCACAGAGATCCACCCACCTCTGCCTCCCGCACTCCTGCGCGTGTGCGTGCGTGTGTTTGTGTGTGTGTGTGTGTGTGTGTGTGTGTGTGTCAGTGTGAGTGGAAATGAGAGAACACCTTGCGGCACTGATTCTCTCCTGTCAGTATTCGGGGCCCCGGGGATTAGACACAGTCAGACTCGGCAAGACAGTACCTTTAACCAACTGAGCAACTTATTGACCCCACCATGTTTTTGGGAAACAGTTGTGGAATTAAATCTATGGATCTTCATGGTAGAAACGGTTCGTGTCTATTATAGTCTAGACAGTGAGTTTATTAACCTTTGGATATTTTATACTGAGCTGCTATCTTAATTCTGTCTCTGGTCCTTTACAGTTGGTTTATCTTCCGACGAGTCTACGACAGTCTCACGCCATCTAACCGGTGCCTGAAAGTCATCATGAGCGGAGCCCACGTCAGCTGTGAGTACTCAGATCAACTCAACACCAACCCAACCTAAGCACGTCAACACTGCAATCTAAATGGTCTTAGGGTCTCAACTCTCCGTGTGGGAATGTTAGGCAGCACAGGCAGGTTTAGGGTTCACTGAAGATGGAGCCCTCCCTCACAGCCAGCTTTACACATCCTTAACATTTAAAACAATGTGTGAAAGGGAGGGTGGAGACAGTGGGGCTCTGCTGCGGACCAGTAAAGGAAGCTACTTCCTCCTGGTCTAAAGAATAGAATCTGGCTGGGCGGTGGTGGTGCACGCCTTTAATGCCAGCACTTGGAAGGCAGAGGCAGGCGGGTCTTTGGGAATTTGAGGCCAGCCTGGGCTACAAGAGCTAGTTCCAGGACAGGCACCAAAGCTACAGAGAAACCTCATCTCAAACAAACAAACAAACAAACGAAAACAAAAACAAACAAACAAAAAGAATAGAATCTGAATTCGTCCTAAACAGCCTAAAATTGTATATTATTATTCCCTCCCTTAAGAATCCATTCAAGCCAAGCACTGGTGGTGTATGCCTTTAATCCCAGCACTCTGGAGGCAGAGGCAGGCGGATCTCTGAGTTTAAGGTCAGCCTGGTCTACAGAGTGAGTTCTAGGGCTACACAGAGAAACCTTGTCTTGGGCGGAGGGGGAAGAATCCACTCAAATAGACCTGTCATATGACTAAGAGCCAACTGGTCAAGAACGCTGATTCACCTGAAGACACGCTTGGGTTAGGAGTTAAGGCCATCTTCTAAGCAGGGACACATTTCCAGGCCAGAAGCCCCTCCCTAGGTACAGCTGGTGGCATATCTCCGCTGCTGAACCGTCACTTTTCAGAATGCTCGCTCAGAAGTATAGCATTTAACTTTCCCCCTTCACTGAGTATCCACAGAGCTCCACTCAAGACATCTCCTGCATATTCAGCTGCAGTGACCACCGCCCAGCCTGTCTGTTCTCTTCCATCCCACCTCAGAAATCCTGGTGATTTCTGAAGAAATTCTCTCCTTCAACCGGCTTCCAGGAACCTGCCAAGACAACTTGACTGCCCTATTATTTTTCTCTGAAACTCTAACAAAATGGTATTCAAGCTTCAAGATTTCAGAGCACAGTACTAACACCTGAGAGGAGGCCATGCCGCAGGAGACAGGTTGGAACCACCTGTTTCAGTAGGCAGCACCAGCTAACACTGCCAGGGAGAGCGCTAGGAAGAACTAGGTCAAAAACCAGCTACCTGGGCTTTGAAAGTTCCAACTCTCCTAAGAGCAAAGGTTTCACAGAGTTCAATAGACATTTGTTGGAGCCAATCAGCAGTCCTCTTGTCCTTCTCTCATTTAAACTACACCTCCCATGAGCTCTTTGAAGCGGGAATGCCACTGCTAGGTAGTAGTAGTAAATTGCCTATGGTGCTACTGGGAAATGTAGTCTTTTTTGGTTTTCTACATTTCTCATTAAAGGAGGATCAGAGAGGGGTTTAGGTGAGGGAATGACACAGGTTTTCATTTGAGATCTCTCTTGACTTCCGTATCTTAATGGCTGGGGGCTCTCAGTTCTGCTTGTCTCACTAACACACTACTGCAAAGGAAGGCAGGTAAACCACAAGCCTAGCGTCTTCCACGGGATCCCTGGAGTTTTCACTAGGGCCTTGGGGATGGCAAGCACTGCACCATTGGAGCACAGGACAGGTCTACTCACCGGGCTCTCGGTGGCCTGGTTTTCCTCCTGATTGGGTGCCGCGCGGTCCAGGGGCACAGCCAGCACAGCGGATAGCATCAGTAGGGGTGATAGGAGAAGGAAAGGGGCCCCGCGAGGCACAGAGGTAGGCATCGTGGCTGGTCTGTGATGAGAGACGGAGAACGGCTTTTTGTTGTTTTGCTACGGCTTTTTGAGACCTGTTTAAGTAGCCTTGGTTGGTTTTGAATTCTTGATCCTCCTGCCTCTCCCTCCCAAGTGACTTGTAGGCGCGCATTACCACCCCGGCTAAGGATGTCCCAACCCCGAATCCGGCTAGGCAAATGAGTGTGCACGTCATCCTCAGTGACATCTCCATTTGCAAAAATGAAGACTCCAAGCGTTTCGTCACCTGGAACCCAGGATGCCAGGCCTCCAGCCTCCTTTTCCTACAGCGCAGTCCGTAGACCTTCATCCCGGTTCCTTCAAAGCAGGGAATCCTACCCTGGACCGAGATCCCAGGCCCCTAGGCTCCCCTTCTCACCGGACTAGCGAGACACGAAACCCTGAATAACGCGAGCTGCAGCCCTCCGCCCTCCGATACCGAGCACCCCTCACCTCTCCTAGCGCGGAAGGCGTTTTCCCACGCTGGGACCTCCGCCTGGTTTTGGTGATTTCCCCCCTAAGTCACTCCCACTTTTCCACACGCAGAGGACCCGCCCGCTGGATACTGATTGGTCCACGCTGGCTCCAAGCTTCCGCCCGCGTTTGCAGCCCCGCCTCTTTCCGATGAAGTTCCCTTACTTTCGAAAATTTCTGCTTTCTTGGAAGCTTACATTCTTCAACGTGACATTTCCTGTGTCGTTTTCAAATAAAAGTCAAAGCCCTGCATGCGGGAGGAGTTGGGGAGGGCAACTTTTGCGGACATCTTGCCGCTGGGTCTCCTGGGAATTGTAGTTTTCTCACTTATTTTCGCTCCACAAGTTCCTGCAAGTGGCACGCAATATTATCATTATTTTTTTAGACAGGGTCTCACTATGTAACCCTAGCTGGAACTCTGTGTAGACCAGGCTGGCCTCAGGGTCACAGAGATAGTTCTGCCTCTGACCCCCCAAAGCACTGAAATTAAAATACTACAACTCCCAGACTCCCAGTCCACCTATCCCAAACTGACCTCGAAGAGATAGGAGCGCTGCTTATAGAGAAGGAATGTTTTGATTTCCCTGCCCTCTTGTCTCCACTTCCCCAGTGCTGAAATTACAGGCATAAGACTCTAGGTCTTGACCTTAGCAATTTCTTAAATGCTCTACGTGTAGAACTATATTGCTAGGTAGATACTCTTGGGTCCCTTTAAGGAATGTTGGCTTGTGGTTCCAATTCAGAACCCCTAGAACAAGGGATCCGTCTGCTTCAGTGGCCTGGAGCCATTACTCTGTTGGACATGGACCGTGAGGGGCCAAGAAGAGGGCAAGTCCCTGTGGGAATCGTCTTTTCCAAGAAAGTGTCCAGCTGTGTTTAGAGTTCTAGTATCTCGGCAAGGCCGTGAGATCTCCAAGCTGGCTCTAGGGACGGGTGGGCACCCCTGGGATTCCAGACAAGTGAAGGTTGAGGGTTTGGGACTTGTGACCCTAAGCCCCGAGTCCCAATACTTAGAAGCAGGACAAGCCTTATGTACTTGGTAGAAAAGTGGATTTTTGCGTTCCCAATAGTGCTTAAGGCTCGACACAGGCAACTTAGTCTCAGGCGGGAATTGGGATTTGGGTTGTTAGGGTTCAAAAGAAAAATGAAGGCAGATGTCAACTATTGGAGGGTGGTCTCTATTGAGATATGGGATCTAGGTCTTGATTATGCCTTCCTAATTCTCTAGAACGTCTCAGGAAAATGAACCATGGAAGAAAGAGTGAGTGGGGAAGCCTAATGGGCAGTGGGTTGGGGGGGAGGGAGAACGTCGATGCACTACAGGGATGCGCACTACAGGGATACGCACAGCTCTGGGCTCAAGCTTTGTCTTCTGGATCACCACCATCTACTCTGTAGGAAGGTGCGGGAGACCTGGACTCCAGCCTCCCTTTGAAAGGCATACCGGTCAAGATGCTTAGGTCTGCCAGATGAAAGGAACCTGGGACCTGGACTCTTGAGTCTCCCAAGATAGCTAGAACCTAAGGGTTTCTGTTTGGGTCCTAAAGGGGGAGGGGCTGGGAGAAGGGGCATCATAACTGACCTAGAAAGCTCCCGTCCTGCAACTCCTATGACATCACTGGTGCTCAGAACCCAAATAGGCCAAGGGGAGGGGCTCTCGCACAGACAAAGCTGCCTGCCGGCTGTGGTCCCCAGCCTGTGTTTCTCTCAGGACCTTGGAGGATGAATTCTCGGGTGTAAGGCTGCAGAAGCTGGAACAACAGGTATGGGCCGGAATCCCACTCTTCATCTTCCCAGCCTTCCCTGAGGTTGCTCAGAGACCCCAATCCCATGTTCGTTTTTTTCTGAACTTCAGGTTCTCAAATTAGGAAAAGAGAAAGTAGGAATTCCGTTTTATTTTGAAACAAGACCTTGCTGCCTAGCCCAGGCTGCTCTCCAGCTTGCATCTTGATCCTGGAATTACAGTTGTGAGCCATTGCGCTTGCTTTGTTTTGTTTTAAATTAAATTTATTCTGGGGTACAGCACACACACACACCATGGCATGTCTGTTGAGACAACTTGCAGGAACGGGGTCTCTCCTTCCACAGTGTAGATCCTGGGGCTGGAACTCAGCTAGTCAGGCCTGATGGAGCCAGCTGCTCCTCTGTCGCCTGTGCTGACCTCGCTCTTGCTCCCATCCTCTTCTGTTTCTGGTCTTACTACAGGCGCGAGCCGTTCTACCTGCCTTTGTATTTTGAAACAGGGTCTCACCGAAGTGTCTAGGCAGGTTTGGAAATTGCAATCCTCATGCCTCTGCCAGGATGGCAGCCCAGGCTGAGGAAATGTTTAAGGAGCGAAAGTTCTTGGGAGCTGGAGAGATGGCTTAGCAGTTAAGAGCACTGACTGTTCTTCCAGAGGAGCCGGGTTCAATTCTCAGCTTCCACATAGCCGCTCACAACCGTCTGTAACTCCAAGATCTGATACCCTTACAAAGACATACATGCAGGCAAAACACCAATGCAAACAAAATAAAAATAAATACATTAATTTAAAAAAAAGTTCTAGAGGGTTGGATTCCTAGTTCTTGGAAGAGGAGTTGGAGGTAGGTCTGATCTGACCGGAAAGCACTAGAAGACTGAGGGACTGGGTATCTGGAACCCCAATGGAGGAAGGGTATCTGGACTCTGCCAGGCCAGTCTCACCCCTGTCGAGCTCTCTGATTTCTGTCCCCACCACACACCCTTCTTGTTCCTACAGCGGCAGCTATTTGAGAAGAAACAGCGCAGGAAGCGCCAGGAACCCCTCATGGTTCAGGCCAATCCTGATGCTTCCCTGAGGCACCGGCGACCAAGGCGTGGGGACGATCGCTTCCAGAGTGACAGCGGCTGGGGACTTGGTCTGATGAAAGGGATTTCTGGGTGCTCCGGAGTGGGACTTATTGACCATTGGAGGGTGGAGCCTAGTGTGCCCTATGGCGGGAACTTGGTAGATGGTGCTGGCTGCTGGAGGGACTGCCTATACATTTCAGGACTGGTGGGGCCTAATTGCATCAGAGTAGGGAGTTTACAGTAGAGGATTGGGGCCGAACTTAAGTGTGGGGCTTTATGAGGGAACAGGGGTGGGACCTCGTCCATCCCGGGGCAGAAGATTGCTTGGTCTGTGGGTCTCTTAGGAGCCATTCCATTAAAACTGGGCCCTTGAGATTACCTGGTCCTTTGACAGTTCCAGGTAGAGTTTAGAGCCAGAGGGCCAGACCCAAAAGAATTCAGGGACTGGCTTTATCAGATAGTAGAGTCTGAGGGACCCTGGACTCCCCAAAGCAGAAGTTTTGCTGGGAGAGCAGGATTTCACTTTTGTGTGTGTGTGTGTGTGTGTGTGTGTGTGTGTGTGTGTTAATAAGGATCAAAACCTAGGGTGACATGCACCCAGTCCTGTGCCTTCCTGAGTTTCGTTTGGGATTTTGGGAGGTGATGCACACGCTGCAGCACAGGCTGTAGTGTATCTATGTAGTGCAGGATGTGAGGCTGTCCTCCTACCTTCCTCGGAAGACCCTTTTTAAATGGGCTGCTTTGCACTTTCCCCCAGGCGCTGGGAGTCCCCTCCTCCAGAAGAACACACCAGAGGCACATCTGCCCTCTGGGGCCCACAGTGCCCTGGCCACCATGAACTATGGTGGAGATGGTAGTGGCGAGAGGGCCCCCCTCTTGTCACCCAAAGGAGCAGGTAACCTTGGGCCACCGATATTTAGAGCATGTGCCTCAGAAGCTTGGGATTCCACCCTTTCTCTCCTGACATTGGAGTTAGGTCTGGAGCCTCCACCTCTTGCACCAAAGGACCCTAAATCTGAAACTCCTTTTTCTCTAGTATACACTCGGGGCAATGGTGTTGCATTCCACCATATATGCTGGCTCCCAGACAGCTCAGATTCAGATGTGGAGGAAGTGAGCATGGAGGACATCCCTGTCATCCCTCCACCTCCCAAGACACATATGGCAAACCGTCGCAGGGGCTGGTTAGCCTCCCCAGGACCTGGTAATTTCAGGGACAGGGGAGTGAAATGTGGTCCTTGGTTTACATAACAAGTTGTCTTTCTTGCTTTGGTTAACAGCTTATATATGAGATACCATAACTCATGGGTCTCCCAATTCATCTGTCGAATCCCTGTTATAGTGTATTCAGATATAAAACATCATCATATCAGATGTATTTATCTGCACTAATTTTGTATCCCTGTATCTATGTATCCCTGGGTGGCCTTGAACTCACAAAGATCCACTGGTTTCTGCCTCCTTGTGTTCTGGGATTAAAAGTATGTTGCACCACACACAAATTATTATTATTAATATTATTATTAATTTCATTTTTCAAGACAGGGTTTCTCTTTGTAGACCTGGCTGTCTTGGAGCTTCCTCTGTAGACCAGGTTGGTCTTGAACTCAGAGATCCACCTGCCTCTGCCTCCCAAATTCTGGGAATAAAGGAATGCATCACCATACCTGGCTCAGATTATTTATTTTAATTCTTTTTGGTTATGCGTATGTGCATCTGTGCATTTGTGAATGTGAGTGCAGTTCCTACAGAGGCCAGAAGAGGGTGTCAGACCCCCTGAAGCTGGAGTTAGATGCATTTGTGAACCATCAGACTTGAGTGCTGGGAGCCAAACTCTTTTTCTCTACAAGAGCAGAACATGGAGCTGGGGAGATGGCTCAGTGGTTAAGATCCCTGGCTGCTCTTCCAGAGGACCTGGGTTCGATTCTCAGCATGCCACATGGTGGCTCACAACTATCTATAACTCCATTACCAGGGAATCCGACACACCAGGGCAGACACCAATGCATACAAAATAAATCTTTTTTTTTTTTTAAAGCAGAATGTGCCCAAATGTGCCCTTGACTGTTAGTCTATCTCTCCAGTCCCTCAACTTATTTGGTTCTTTCTTTTCTTTTCTTTTTTTTAAATGAAAGCTTATTTGTTCACTTGCTTTTGGCCAGGAATTTTGACAGACACATGCTTTTAATTCCAACTCTGTAGACAAAGGCAAGTGGATCTCTGTTCAAAGCTAGACCAGTCTAGAAATCTAGTATCGGGCTAGCCAGAGCCACACAGTGAGACACTGACTCTGGCCTCTTCTCTGTGCATCCTGACCTGCCACTGCTTCTGCCCCCTAGGGATCAGTGAAGAGGAAGAGGAGGAATCCAAGGATGTCTCAGTGGAGCACAAGGCACCCAGCCCAGCCCCAGCCCCTGCAGTGAACTCTGACAGGGTTCATGGAGACTCGGCATCCTGCATGGTGGAAGAGAGCACAGAAGAGAGCCCACCAGCCTCCGGCATCAGGGTAGGCGGTACTTAAAACATGCAGCCCGGTCTACAGGGTGTATTCACTAGATGAAGTAGCAACAAGGTGAAAGCCTGTGCTCAGTGCTGCATGCCTGCATTTCCTGCAGTCCCAGCACTTGGGAGGCTGAGACAGGTGGATCTCTGAGTTCGAGGTCAGCCTGGTCTACAGAATGAGTTACAGGAGAGGCTCCAAAGCAAAAGATAAACCCTGTCTCGAAGAAAAAACAAAAAAACCAAAAAACTCCCTTCCCTAAAAAGAATACCCATGAACAGATAAACAGGTGACTACTAATGGAGACTACAAAGCATGATTTGGTTTGGAAGGGTCATTTTGTAGTCAACATGACTACATACATGCCTGCTCTTACCACTGAGCAACACCTGAGCCCTTCACTGGGGGATTCTAGGCAGGGCTGCTACTATGCAGCAGTGCCCAGCGACCTCGCTGGCATGTTCTGGCAGGTACTCTGGGCTTATGTGTCCTAGAGAAGGACCTCACACAAATTATCCAATAGGTCTGTGGAGCTGATGAAATTGCGAGTTTGACCGGTGGACAGACGTGCCAGCGAGGTTGGGTGGGTTAGCCGCCAAGCTTGACTAACAGGAAGCCATGGGTCTTCACGCGTCACCCTTGGCTGGAGTAGCCAATCAGTCTGCGTGGTCGAGCCTGACTGCCCCTCCACTTTTGATCTGCACTTGAGCTAGGACGAAGACCTGGAAAAGAAAGAGGCTTCAGAGACTACAGGGACAAACAACGCCCCAGTGGCGCCCAAGGTCTTGCAAGGCAACGGTGACACAAGCGACCACAATCCTTGGAATATGACCTGTTCCCTGCCCCGCACGCCAGGCCCTCGGCTCGGGGAAGACATGGAGGCCTACGTGCTGCTACCCGCATCCCAAGAGCACATGGTGCAGTGTCGCATCGTCCGCAACAAGCACGGCATGGACAAGAGCATGTTCCCCTCCTACTACCTCTACATGGAGACGGAAGACGGAGTGGCTGTACGCTTCAGCCCCGCGGCGGGAGGCTTCACACTGGAGGGGAAAGATAGGGAAACAAGCCCCAACTTCGAGGGTCATGTCCCTCCCCTTTTTGGACAAGGTTAAAAATTTCTGGAGCCAGACGTAGTCCCATAAAACTCTAATCCTAATAATCCTTGGGAATTGTGGCAGGGAGGATCAGGGGAGTGAGGATGAGTTCAAGGCCAACCTCCTGACCTAAGGAGACATTGTTAGAAAAAACTAAAAACAGAGCCAGGTGGTGGCACGGATCCTTTAATCCCCCACAGTTGGTAAACAGAGGAAGGCAGCCCTTTCTAAATCACGAATTCCAGCCAACAACGTGAGCCCCTTTCAGCATTTATTTATTTAGGACTCAGGCCTGTGTCTCAGAGTTAGGACTTGTCAGCCCTGCCCACCTCAGTCTGCCAAACTTTTTAGAACATGTTAGTTTAGGTCCTCCCTACCCTATAACCAAGCCTTATTCATTCCAGAGTTAATTCACATTTACCACACCTCCCTTCCCCTTGAGATGAGTGGGTCCCTTTGACCTCCCAACTGAGTCGTCTTGGCCAAATGCCACCAATCCTGGTATAAACTAGGTCTTCAAAGCAGTTCCATTCTCTAGCTAAGCCACGGCCCTCTCCATCTGACCAGTCTTCTCCCAGTGTGGCCTCCACCTCCTCCAGAGAGAGTTGTTGGAGTTTAGAGCTGTGTTCAGGACACTGGCTCTAGCAGGTGTCGAAGGTCAGTCCTGAAGTGTCTTCTCTGGTCTGCAGCATTTCCTTCTGGCAGGGCGGAGAAGGAAAAGAAGCAAAACCTCAAATTATCTCATCTCCCTGGACCCCAAAGACATGTCTCGCAACGGGAACAACTTCGTAGGTAAAGTTAGGTAGGTGAAGCCTTCTAGGTGTGTGGTGCTCCTAGCATGTGGGTGATGCAACAGGTGGCAGGAAGTCACAAGAAAGACAGGCAAATGGACTACATTTCCCAGCAGGCCACAATGCACTAAACTGGACCTGCACCAAAGTCTGATGGGTTTTGTAGTTCTGCAGATTGTATTTCCATAGCTGGAAAAGAAAAAACATGAAAGCTTTGGGTACCATGAGTACAGGCTGGCATTTAATGTTTAGGTTTTTGATAGGCAGAGGGCTGGGACCCCTCAGTTCCTGTGGAAAGAGAGGTCTAGCGTGTATGAGTTCTTGCTTCCTAAATGGAAGAGGGTTCTCAATAGTCGATATAGGATGCTAGAATGACACCAAGGAATCAGAAGGCTGGGACTGTGATTTTTTTTTTAATTTTCCTTAGAAGATGGGTTTGAGAAACACTTAACACAGAATAACAATCACTGTCATGGTTATTATTACTCTGTCCACTGCCCTCCTGGGTCAGATCCAATGTCTTGGGCACGAAATATACCATCTTTGATAATGGGGTGAATCCTGAGCGGAACTACTGGATCCCAGACAATACCCGGATCAGAGAGGAGCTGGGAGTTGTATGTTATGTAAGTATACTGGCAGGGGCAGAAATGAGGGCACCAATAGGTAAGAAAGCATAAGGAGCTAGGCCAACTGGAATATAATCTAATTAATCCTCCCAGGAAACCAATGTCTTGGGATTCCGGGGGCCTCGCAGAATGACCGTGATTCTTCCAGGAATGGACAGCCGGAAGCAGAGGATGAGAATTCAGCCACAAAGTGTGAGTCCTTAGGGCTGGAACCACAGCACAGAGAGGAGGATGGACTAGGGAACCCATCCTAGACCTTGAGGTGGGGCAATGGTTTGCAGGGCCTATGTGAACCTTGACTTTGTCAGGGTCCCATCTCAGGCAGTAAAGACTAGAGACTCAAAAATTCTGGGGCTGAGGCTGGCGAGATGGCTCAGTTATTAATAAACATGTACTGCCTTCCTAGAGGAAGAGGAAAGGCAGAGCTCGTGAGACTGTGGCTAGCCCTGTCTAAATAGCTAGTTCCAGAACAGGCAGGGCTACATAGTAAGACCTTGCTTTAATTAAAAAAAAAAAAAAATTAATCCTAGGACTCAGGAGGCCAAGATCTCTGTGAATTTGAGGCCAGCCTGGTCTACAGAGAAAGTTCCAGGAGTCAGGGATACAGAGAGAAACCCTGTCCCAAAAAACAACAAATTTCGGTTGGCTCCCAGTACTCTTGTAAAGTAGCTCCTGACTGCCTTAACTCTAGCTCCAGGGGACCTAACGCCCTCTTTTGACCTTCTAAGACAACTGCATTTGCACACACATAATTCACATATGCAGACACATATATATTACATTTAATCAAAAAATAATTTTCTTTTTTGAGACAGGGCTTCTCTGTTGTATCCCTGGCTATCCTGGAACTCACTCCGTAGACCAGGCTGGCCTCAAACTCAGTGACCCATTGTCTCTGCCTCCTAAGTGATGGGATCGCCACAGTTTAAGCTTGGCCACTTTCAAACTATGTATAACAACGTATGCATACTAGAGTATACATATTGACCTGTGTGTGATTATGAATGTCTGCCCAGAAGTCGTAAATAATTTTTGCATAAATGTGTATATAAAATTTATCTCTGGAGCAATACACGTAATATTGGAGACACAGAATCACCATGGGAAAGACAATAAGAAATTCCAAAGCTCAGGTAAAAGAGATCTCTTCTTCTGTCTGTTCTGCACACTCATGCATTCTTGAAAATTCATAAACAAGATCAAGTAACTAACAACAGTGTTTTGAATTTGACCATCGAGAAGTCACTGCAATCCTGATAATGCTGTTTCCATTCATACCAATAAACAAAGTTAGATGGTGAACATCAAGGACAAAATGAAAATATAAAATACCAATTACAAGCCAGGTGGTGGCACACACCTTTAATCCCAGCACTAAGGAGGCAGAGGCAAGGGGATCCCTGTGAGTTTGAGGCCAGCCTAGACTAGAAGAGCTAGTTTCAGGACAGACTCCAAAGCTCCAGAAAAAACCCTGTGTCTAGAAAAACCGAAAAAAGGGCTGGAGAGATGGCTCAGAGGTTATGAGCACTGGCTGCTCTTCCAGAGGTCCTGAGTTCAATTCCCAGCAACCACATGGTGGTCCACAACCATCTGTAATGAGATGTGACGCCCTCTTCTGGCGTGCAGGCATACATGTAGGCAGAACACTGTATACATAATAAATACATAAATTTTAAAAAGAAAAAGAAAGAAAGAAAGAAAAAGTGAATTTCATGCCTAAGACATTGGGTCTGCCCCAGGAGGGCCGCGGCGAGAGTAATAATAACCACGACAGTGATTGTTACTCTATATTTAGTTCTAAGAAAAAAATGACAGTCCCAGCCTGGTCTACAGGGCTAGGTCTCTGTGTAGCCAGGGCTACAACAGAGAAGCCCTGTTTCTAAAAACAAAGAAAAACAAAAGGTAAATCTGGCAATCTAGACACACTATGTCTCAAATAAATAGATAAATAAAATAAAATATGTGCATCTGGACCAACAGATAGGCGGGTAGGCTAACAAACGATGCCCCTGTTGTATCCCTAAGGATCAGGATTCGATTTTGAGTCGCCTACAAAAGGGTGCTAGACACGGGCTGCTCCAACTGCAGAACAAAGTCCCATCTTGGAGCGAGGAGAGCGGCGCCTACGTGCTCAATTTTCACGGTCGCGTCACTCGGGCTTCAGTCAAGAACTTTCAGATTGTGCACCCCGATGAACGTGAGCTCCTAGCAACCCCCAAGACCTGGGTTTGGGGGCAGAAAGAGGGCGTTCAGGGCGGGAGCCTCGCTTTCGCAAGGTCTATTGGGACATGTAGTGTCCTAGCCTGGTCAGGGTGCAGCCGCGTGTCTGCATTAGAGTTTAAGTCCTATTTCTTGGTTTGCTCATCAGCGGACCACCTGGTGCTCCAGTTCGGCCGCGTGGCCCCAAACATATTCACTATGGATTTCCGATATCCTCTTTGCCCACTCCAAGCCTTCGCCATCTGCTTATCTAGTTTCGATGGGAAACTGGCGTGTGAGTAACCTGAATAAAATACCATCCCTCACCAACTCTGGTTGTGCGTTTGGAGAAAGCTTCACAGCAGTTTTTTTTTTTTGGCGGGGGCGGGGTGTTCGAGACGGTTTTTTTTCCCCCCAGAGACAGGGTTTCTCTGTAGTTTTTGGAGCCTGTCCTGGAACTAGCTCTTGTAGAGCAGGCTGGCCTCGAACTCACGGAGATCCACCTGCCTCTGCCTCCGAGTGCTGGGATTAAGGCGTGAGCCACCACCGCCCGACAAGACTGGGTTTTTCCAGTGTTACAGGTCTTACTTGTCCTGCAACTACCTCTTTTTTGTTTTGTTTTGTTGGATTTTTTTTTGTTGTTTGTTTCTTGAGACAGGGTTTCTCTGTGGCTTTGGAGCCTGTCCTGGAACTACCTCTTGTAGACCAGGTTGGGCTCGAACTCAGAGATCCGCCTGCCTCTGCCTCCCAAGTGCCACCCGGCTGACCTTTTTTAGTTTTCTGATGCTCATTCTGGTCCCCGATGGCGTAGCTGAGGCTGGCTTTGAACACCGGATCTTCCCACTTCCACCTCTAGAGTACTGGATGACAAGCATGCACTTTGGTGCCTGGCTTTTGCACATGTCATACCTTGTATCTACCACCCTCTCTTTATTTTTTAAGGCCGCCTCACTCGATAGGTTATGCCTGCCTGGAACTCCTGCCACAGCTTCGAAATGCTGGGATCAGTTGCTGTCCTTACCCCAGTCTGGACACAGAACTCAGTGTTTTGAGACCATCACTGTGTATATCAGGCTGGTCTTAAACTTCAGTTTGGACACAAAACTCATTTTTAGCCTCCCTTGAAGATCCACCAGCAGGGTATTATCAATACATAATTAAGACTTGATCAGTATAAATCAAAAGGCTTTATTTCATATTAAAAATAAATAAATAACAGAAAACTATACGGGTTTAGCTTTGCCTCCCACCGAAGTCAGGCTGGGTGGAGGGGCTTCACTGGGAAGGGGAGAGGGTGTGGTCAGAGCTTGGCTCAAGGGCGTGGCCTAAGGAGGCACAACGCCCAGGCTGTGGAAAAGGTGTGGAGGCCAGAGGAAGGGGTGGGTTTCCAAGGCGAGTCCATGCTCTGGCCCGGAAGGCAGGGGTGAGGTAAGGACCCAGCTCCTTCTCTGCCTGGGCAATGCGGCGAGCAAAGCGGCTCCGATCTCGTGCGAGCTGTTCCCAGGGACCACGGCGGGCAGCCTGGGCTGGTCCTGCCCAGACAGCAAGAAAATGAACTGTGACTTTCTCAGAGAAGTGCACCTGGACAGATGGGCAGAGGCAAGACATAAAAATTAGTCACACAAAAACGCTGGGTATTTGAATAGTCACCTCCTGACTGTCCCTGACTCACTGGCACGTGTCAGCTCCATTAGCACAACTACCACTCCTCCTGCCTCTTACAGGTGATTGCAACAGGGTGAACACAGCCTTCCCATGTAAGAACTTGCAACACATGGGTCCCTGGAGTCCCCGCCTCCAGCACACCTCCTTAGGGATTTTCAGGTCCCAGCCCCTCCTCCTCCCGACTGGGAATCTAAGGCTTTTGTATTTAAAAAGCCTTGTGGAATCCTACTGCCATCCCAGCGCTAGACTGAATCTCTGAGCTAGGAATCCAGGCACCAGCACTCACCTTTCTGGTACACAGGGGAGTTGCAGGGTCCTGATCCCGGGTGGGGGTTCTCAATAGTCTGAGCCTCCTTTGCAGTCGAAGGGGCAGCTTAGGGGCAGCCCAAGGTGCTGCTGGTTTCTCTCCAGGTAAATAGAAGGCCACCTGAAGAGAGGGCTCTGCTGGCACACATCCCTCTGTCTTCTCTCCAGATAGACCACCCTGGGCCTGAAGGCAGGGACTCTTGCCTGAGTCATCTGGGACCACATTCTCACACTCATCTTCTGTGTCCTCTCCTGGGCAGTAGACCCAGGCCTTCAGGAAGGCACTTGTATGGGGGGTGGCACAGGTCTGAGCTACACTGTCTTCCCCATCTGATCCCCAATCCCCATCGTCCTCATCCTCTGTGTCCTCTCCAGGCCGACACACCCAGGCCTTCAGGAAGGCCTGTGCAGGAGAGGTAGCGGGAGACAAGGCCTGGCTTTCTTCCTCTTCCTCAGCTGATCCCCAATCCCCGTCGTCATCCTCATCCTCCGTGTCCTCTCCAGGCCGACACACCCAGGCCTTCAGGAAGGCATTCCCACTACAGACAGCTTCAGCTTTCCCCTCTTCCTCAGCTGCTGCCTTCTGACGAGGCTGATCCTGCTCTGGCCCGTGTGGCTCTCGGTTGCCTTCTCCCTCCTGCGTAGGCCTCTCTCTAGAGCAGTACTCCCAGGCTCTGCTGGGGTCAGCTTTCTTTTCTGTCCCTTTTTCCTCCGTGGCTCGATGTCCTGCCACCCCAGTGCAATACACAGAAGGGCCGGGCTTGTGTCCTGGGTCTGTGTAAGAAGCAGAAGCTTCTCCATCCTCTTCTTCCTCCTCCTCGGCTGGACCACCCTTCCCGTGTGCAGTGGGATAAGCCAGCTCAGTCCCTCCCTCTTCTCCAGCCACCACCTCCCCGAGGCTCTTATCAGCACCTTGCAGGCTAGGGGACAGGGGCATAGGCAGGCCAGCTGTGTGTTCCCTCTGCTGCTCTCCAGGGCCATCCTGTCCTTGCTTCTCACTGTATCCATCACTTGAAAGTCCCCACGCTTCAGGAGGGGAATTGTGGGCTTGAACATCAAAGGAAGACCCCCGGGCTGCTGGACTCTCCCCAGGAGCTCCACGGTCCTCAGTGTCCCCCTGAGGGAGGTTCCCAGGGACCAGGGGAGGTGTCACCAGAGCCTTGGCTTCTACCTGATCTGCTCCTGTTACTGTTTCTGTCAACCAGGGCTCTGGGCCTTCCGGGCCCCTCAGGCGGCTCCAAGCCCGGCTGAGAAAGCCCATCAGTGGAGACAGGAGGTAGAAGGAGTGGGCATCTCTCCAGTGCAGGGCATACTGGGGTCTTGGGCTTGGGGCCATGTGTCTGGGCTGTAAAAGGGGGAAAATGTTTAGAAGCCATTCTGGAAACAGTATCATGCCACAGCCCTGAGTCACGGTACTATTTATAGTACGAGAATCCATGCCTCAAATTCCTAACAGCACTGCTCATACCCACCTCCGCCACCTGCTTCTCAGTACCCGATAGACTGGGCACTCGGTTCTACATCTTTAGACCAAGAGACCGCCCTCCCAAAACCCTTTCTTCAGGCCCCGTCAAAGATTCCCCGTCCTCAGACCTGGGAGCCTGACTTCTAAGGATCCCTTTCTCCTCAGCTTATGTTTACATTATGTATTATATAACAATTATAGATGCTATAATTCACGCCCCCAAACCTTCTCCTGCCTACTCTCTCGTCCAGGCCACTCCCGGAGCGCTTCGCTTTAGCCGGCTCTACCCAAGCACCGCAGCTCTGGCGGCCGGGCCCCTCCCCTTTAACCGCAGAGCCTAACTTCAACTTTACTCAGACTCCCCAGGCCTGGCTCTCTTCTCAGACAAAGCATCTGGGATTTCCCCAACTTCCTCCCCCAAACCCCACTCACCGGCGGGCTGCGCGTCACCCCGGGGGCAGGAACGTCGGTTCGGGTTGCCAGAAGCGGTCGCGGGTCCGAAGGTCTCGCAAGGCCAGCGCGGTCATGTCGCCCTCAGGCGTGCGGTTCGGGGACGCGAGGTCTCACAGGTTGCCGCAAGGAGTGTCCCGGCAAAGGGATGCGGAGTGGCGCGGGATGTCGCATGCAATCTTCACCGGTTCAGAACAGGGTCAATCTGGGCCGGAACTGTCAACCGTGCTTTTATAGCCGACGCTGTGCTGACGTCACCGGGAGGCGGGGCTTCGGAAGTCCCTGGGAAAGGTGGGAACTGGAAAACAACACCCGCACTTCTCGCGGACTTTCCGGGCCTCGTGACGTCACGGCGGCCTTCCAGGCTGACCGACTGCTGAGCCCGCGGGCCAGTATTCCCGCGTGTCCCCAGCCCAGTGTCTTTCCTTTCTTTTCTTTTCTTTTCTTTTTTTTTCTTTTTTTTTTGAGAGACGGAGAGACAGAGACCGGCCTCGAAATCAGTGATCCTCCTGCTGCACCACTTTTTGCCATTTTTTTTCCCCAAGACAGGTGTGATTTTTGAAGGCAAAACACTCAGTGGTGGGCTGGAGAGATGGCTTAGTGGTTAAGAGCATTGCCTGCTCTTCCAAAGGTCCTGAGTTCAATTCCCAGCAACCATATGGTGGCTCACAACCATCTGTAGTGAGATCTGGTGCCCTCTCTGACCTGCAGGCACACATGTTGGCAGATATTGTATGCATAATAAATGAATAAATATTAAAAAAAAAAACACTCAGTGGTTTTTTTTGGGGGGGGTTGTTTGCTTGTCTGTTTCCCTCTCTCTCTCTTCTTTTTTCTTTTTTCATGGTGTTTCAAAACAGGGTTTCTCAGTGTGGTCCTGGCTGCCCTGGAACTTGCTATGTAGACCAGGCTGGCCTCGAACTCACAGAGATCCGCCTGCCTCTGCCTCCCCATTACTGAGATTAAAGGCGTGCACCACCACTGCCCAGATGTATTTATTATTTTTTAAAAAAACACTTTTGCCGGGCAGTGGTGGCGCACGCCTTTAATCCCAGCACTCGGGAGGCAGAGGCAGGCGGATCTCTGTAAGTTCGAGGCTAGCCTGATCTACAAGAGCTAGTTCCAGGACAGACTCTAAAACTACAGCGAAACCCTGTCTTGAAAAACCAAAAAATAAATAAAAATAAATAAATAAATAAATAAACACTTTTTTCCTCCTATAAATAGTGTATTTGTGTTTAGAAGTTGCAGTTTTAGTATTATTAACAGAAAATACACAACAAAGGTTTCCTAAAAGTGAAAAAAAATAATTCTTAAAGCTGGAAAAATTAGCCTCATTAACATATTTACAGACTTTTACTTAATACATACTCCTTTGGAAATTACTTATGTAACATTTACCGCATTAACCCTCCCCAAATCTCTGAGTAGTGAGGGCTTCAGCTCTTTCCTGTCTCTAACCAAAGTTGACCACCATGTGATTTCTGAAGCTTCAGCCCCAGCCTCCTGGTCACTCAGACACAGCTGGCCTGCTGCTCTGCCCCTCCCCCCACCGATGCTTCTGCTGACGAAGGGTCCTTCTGCAGCTTCTCTGTACTCTGCTCTTCCTGTACTTTCAGAATTATGTTTCGGATTTCTTCTCTTTTGGTTTTCATTCTCGGGGGAGGAAACCAGTTCACCAGTTCCTGGGGAGCTCAGAAAAGCCCCCCCCACCCACTGCAGTATGTCTGCGCCACAGTCGCTGAAGTTGTTCCGCTGTGCACCTTTCGGGTTGGAACCTCTCATGACATCCTGGGAAAGACTTCTTTCCTTTTTTAACCTCCCATTCCACTTCCAAACACTCTCTTAGGATTTTGACATTTGACCTAGAAGGACTGTGTCAGTCCATGAGGAGGATTCAAGGCTATTAACAGACACAAGGTGTTAAATGCCACCTATTTAACACCTATTTCTGAATTGTAGTTATTTCTGTCCTATTTCTGAATTGTAGCTTTCATCATCGCTGCTATCGCCAGCTCATCCTGATCCTCTGAGAAGTCAATGAGTTCATCTTCTGGCATTTTGCCTCCTTCAGTTGACTGATCACCGTAGTTTAGTCTGGTTTTGCTTAAGGCATCTGGATGATGTTTAGAATTTAAACGTTGATCCTTTAGGCCAGTCTCACTTTCAGCTCTATCAGTAACTTCCTGGCATGCAGATTCTCCATTACTTGATTCTTCGTTTTCACTTACAGCGTGGAT